AAGGACTGCGTGTCCCCGCACGGCGTGGATCTGCCCGCTGCCGAGATGGCCGCTTCGCCTCGGGCACCTGCCGCAGGGGTTTCCGAAGCACTGGGCAAAAACCGACCCCGCAGTGGGGACAGCAGAAGCCCACCTTTCGGAGGAGGTGGAAGGAAAGGGAAAGAAAACGGGGAACGGGACCAGATGTCCCCTCGAAGCCTGCCCGTGCTGTGTTTGGCTCCGTGGACGGGGTGATCGGGGTGTGTGTGGGACTAACGATGAAACCTTTGCTTCTAGGTGCTGTCTAATCAAGTTCTCTGCTCTTTCCCCAGACCTCCAGTACAAGTGCATCTAAACCTGTGCTTTGGAATGGTGCGGTTGGAAGTACCTCTGCCCAGACCCAAACTCCGGCACGTCTAGAAATCACTCTTCCAATACGATTCACTGGACTTTGTCCAACATTTTTTAGCAAACTGTAGGCTTTATAAAGTCCCACTTTCTAACTCTTCACACACACCGGGTTTTTTTTCCTTCCTGTTGCCAGCCAGTCTTGCCTGGGTTGACATCCAGACGAGCTCCTGGCAGTCAGTTTTCAGACTCAGAAGTCCGTCTCTTAACTAACACGCGTTAGTTCTAACTGCTGCCTTGGTTTTCACGCTGCAGCTTATTTTTGGAGAGCAGGGTAGCGCAAATGAATATTCCTGATGAAGGTAGCTTTCACCGGATTCTTTACAAAATCTATTCCCCCTTCCTCCCTCTCACCCCCTGGGTACACAGGCACCATACTGAGGTTTGCATTTTTCATGGCGGGACAGACAAGTCTGTAAAAGGCATGTTTGTTTTTCCTGGCTGTTTCAAATATGTATTTCCTGGAGGACTTCGCATCTGATGGGGTCATCAGAAGCACATGTGCGATTTTCATCTTTCCAAGTGATTTCTCCTCTTCTACCCTCCTTTACTTACCAGCAGTGTTTGCTGATATAACATTTTATCTGTTCGTCCACCTTAGCTCCCACTAAAAAAACCCTGTCCGTCCCAAACTCTCGGTGAAGTCCCAGTTTGTTTCTGTGTGTCTGACTGGGATTTTTGGTTTTGTTTGGGGCTGGGGGGGGCTATTTTTATAAGAAGTAATTTTTTTCTTTTTCTTCCTCTTCTTGTTGTCGTTGTTGTTGTTTGGGTTTTTTTTGTTTTATTTGTTTCCTACAGTACGCAGCTTGGGCTGGAGGTGCTCTGCCCGCCAGCAAGCCCGACCGCCCACTCGGCAGCCGCTGCTTTTTGGTACCCCGGGGTGCGAAGCTGGACGGGCTCTGCAGCGCACCGGGACTCCGGATAAAGATGGATTTGATATTTAAAGCTGGGGATTGAGCGTTTTGCTCAAACCCAGAAAAAACTCCCCAGTCGCTAATAAACAACCCCCGCCTCCCGTTTATTTTAATGGTAAGGAGATGAACCTTCTTCCCAAGAAAGAAGCCACCTCCCCGATACATAGAGCGGAAGCTTTGAGCGCTGCTACTCGCAGCAAAATGGTAAGAAGCTGATCCCGCATCCCAGCTCCGAGGTTTATGTATTTTTTCCAAATCCCAGAGCTACTCTCCTTCAGACAAAACCCTCACCTTTTCCTTGTGTACTGAAGCACTGAAAGTTCCCTTCAGTATATTTTCCTTGGCTGCCTGAGCCGCAGCATTTTGATTCACTAAGCAGAGGAAGTTAAAGAACTCTGCAGTAAGGGCCAGTGCCCAGTGTTTTCATCACCACTCCCCTACATTATTTGTCATGCTCAAGTGAGGGTTTGTTCAAGCCAAAAGCCTGCGCATACCGGGCTGCATTTGTTTCTTCTAAAGAAGGCAAGAGATTTTGTTTCCGGGTCTGGTAACAGGAGCCCCTGTGCCTTACACAAACATAGCTGGGCAGGCAGGGGCACTCCCAAGGCTTTTTGTTCCGGGGCTGCAGCAGCCCCCCTCAAACACACAGTGAGGCTTTGCTTAGGCCTAAATGGCTGCACTAGGTCCCAGGAGAAGAGGCAAAGTAGCTTTGTCCGGAGTAGCCCACAAAAAATATACCAAGCGGGTGACTTCTCTCATGTCGAGTGTTTGCAAAATGGCTTATACTATCCAAAGGAAAAAGCAGCCACACAGCCTTGTAAATGAGATGCGACTGTGTTTCTCAGAGGAAGTCCTGTTTACCCCCGAGAGCCTGCAAGGGCTGGTGGATGTAAGGCGTTTAACCAGCAAGCTCTGGCATACACTCCCCTACTCATAGGAAAGGTTCTTACTTCAACAGAAGTTCTTCCTGTCCCCAGAAAAGCGTAGGAAACGGCCACATCTCCAGTAGCCTGTCGGGATGCTCTGCCATCGTGTCCATCAGTATTTCCCTGCCAGGGTGATGAGTTGAGCCTTGCTAGGACAGACAGAAATGTTTTCTGTCTCAAGCGAGCTATTTCTCTTATGACTCTCTTCAGCGAAGCACCAGGTCTGTGAACACTCATATAGTAAAATACAGCAGAAAAAAAATTTGCCCTAATACGTGAATGTTCAGTTCTCTGCTACCTAAAGGAATTACTCCAGTTACAGGTCTGCGGGCCGTAAATGCTGAATACATTACGTAATTTGGTAAGATTTTAGTTTGAGGTCAAATACTGCTTATATATATACACACGCACATATGTGCGTGTGTATGTATATACAGGGTGCGTGTGCGTACACGAGAAAGCACGGTTCTTCCCCGGTTAGTCCTGCCGTGCGGTTTGCCCGCTGCATCCTGACCTCAGTCCGAGAATAGTCAAGGGGGTTTTCATGGATAAAGCCTGCCAGGATCGAACCACCTTTTTATTCATGCCCCAAAAACCTTGCGACTACTCCAGAAACAACCAACCCTGAGACGAGATATGCCCCATGTAACCTAATGCTAGCGAATCATAACTAATCTGTTTAAAACCAAGGATTAGTCACGTCGGTTTCGGCGTATTCCTCTATCGGGAACTTTTTTTGTGCGTGGAAAATCGGAGGGATTTGGGGTAATTTACCAAACATCAGTACTAAGGCAAGTACGGTCCGATACAATGAGTTTGAACATGTACGGGTTTTCAGGTTGCATTACATACGCCCCATCATTGAGGCCTTGAGCTGTATGCACCCTTTATGCCAGATTGACCTGCAGACTTTTTTCTTACTGTATGATTCCTGTTTCTAGCCGTCTTTAGTTGGCTTCAGTTACTTGCCCTCTCCTGATTTCTCCATATATAACAGATCCGCACTGAAATTTACATGAGTTTTCACAGATCCTACTCTTTCCAAGGGTCTTTCTCACCATGTCAGCCCTTCATTTACGTTCCCCGATCGAATTATGCCTCCTCTGTGCAATATGACCGTTTATTAATCACGTAAACCCCATCCTGTTTTCATACTGCCTCTTTAAATATTCCCCATCTTGGCTTTACTCTTTCTCATTTTTTCTTTCTCCAGAGGGCAAAACCTTAAGGCTTTATTTAGGTTTTGGGGTCATGTTTTATTAACCTAGACGTTCTGTTACCCTTCCGAAACTCATTTCTACCTATAAAAATACAGATTAATTAATTCATTCTTTGCAATATTGCACATCTGCATGTGTTATTTTACAGGGAGCAGGAATCTTCTGTAACGCTAGGAAGCAGTGGTTCCTCTATTTGCAAAATGTTTATTTTCAAAGAATTAAAATTCATAGCTAAAATTATTAGATGCTTCTCAACGGAAATAACAGGAATCTGCTATTTAGACCCTAATGCACGCAGGGCCCCAATGGTACGCTCCTACAGCACAGACAACAACCACATCATCTTCGCCGCTGAAAAAATGACCCCAAAGAGCAGAAACAGAGGACACATAAACCTGAATATACCACATTGCCTCTGAGGTAAGACTGTACCCCGCTGCACCCCAGCATAACGAGAACACTGGATTTATAGCCACGAGTGAGGGCAAACTTTTTTCCGGAGGCCGAACCTCCCCCTTACTGGCATCCATACATTCCCTTCTACAGACTTTTAACGGGACCTCAGAGAAACGTACTTTTAGCGGACACCCACAAACGCACAGAGGCGCTAATCCAGCCTCAGATTATATCAAATTAGGACATTGCCCGCACAGTACTCCCACTGACTGAAATTTCAGCCAGCGTCTGAAACCTGGACACAATCTTTGCTGAACTACACATATTTCTATCCAGCTTGAAAACATATCGTTTTCTCGGTTTATTTTTTACAGGAAAATAATTTTAAAGAAGAAAAAAAAAAAAAGGAAAGTATAAAACTCTTTGCAAGCTCTGAGGAACATTTTAAGCAGATGACATACGACATTCGGCTTCTAGAAAAGAGGTGGCAGCGAGGGTGCAAGATGTATTGAAATCACTCTGAATTATCTTTTAATGGGGCAAACTGGCAAGCAACTTGCCTGTCTCTTTTGCCAGCCGGTGCTTACAGAAAAGGAAATTAAAAATAAAGAAAGGAAAAGGAGGGGAATAGAGCAATCCCTTTCCCAGCATCACTCCCGCAGACGCTGGAAAGGCGTTTGCAGCCCAGCCGTGTTGAACTGCGGAGCAGGGTCTGGCCACACATGGTTTGCCCACCTGCCCCTGAAGCGAGGTGGGGAGAGGGTGGCGGGGCGGTCGGCTTTCTACCAGAGCCAGCGGACACCGAACGGAAAAGCCCGCAGCCTGCACGGCCGTGCCCTCGGTGGAGCAGGTGGCTGACCTCTA